GTGTAAATTTGGTCGGAAGGCATTGGAATCAATACTAGAAAGAAAGGGATGTCAGCTTTACCTCCACCCTAGAGTGCTGAAGTTCTTATACATCCACTTTCTCCTCAGGACAGGTACTCACCTTACGTCGACACACTGGCAGGCGAAACTGTTGCCGCGAATTGATACGATCATTGATCTGTTTGATGATCAATACAGCGCATGTAATTAGAGGCGTATTATTCGCTGCTGGACTTGTTCTAACCAATGTCCCAATCTGTCTAACACCCTAATACGACTATTCTATTTGTAGGCCTTGATGTACGGTTAAACAAAAAGGCACAGTGACGAGATACTTTCTCTTCCTCCGACACTGTGAAGTTATAGCAGAGAATTCAGAAATACCTCAATTTCCGATGCAATTTCTGCTAGCCTAGTATTGCACAACCTTTGCATTTTTTAAATAAGACAATGGTGTACCACTCAAAATCACAACTTCATGTACTAGTAAATAAGACACTTGTATCATTAAGATAGTCAACGGAACCAGATAGTTGGGTTGAAGGAAGGTGATTATCAAAAAGAGATAATCAACAGGAAGAGATAATCATCGAAACGAGATAATCAAAACAAGGTGATCGAACATGATAATCAAAACAAGATAATCAACAGAGTCTGAGACATACTCGAGAATATACATGGCTTATTTCCCAATGAAGGACCAATCCTTAACAGGTGATACATTTGATTGAAGAGTAATTTTTTTTTACAAAGCTCAGAGGTCACCAACGCCATTTCTGTGAGCAAACCTGAAAACAGAAATGGACCAAGACCTTCTGACGACATAACAAGCTCATTACATTTAATTTGGGGCTGTTCGAAATTTGGCTACTCATCTGTTGCATTGATCATAGAAGTTAAGACTAGGCAATGTAAAAATGGATAAATTCTTGCCAGTCCAACATCTCAAATTATTGTGCAGTGTGAGGGGATCTGGCTCATTGAGGCAAGTCCGCTCACCTCGAGTGACTCAGTGAGTGAAAAGAACGAACGGACAGTGTGAGTATTAGTTTCTTCATTTAAACTATACGTACTAAGCTACATTACTAATCAACAATGCCGCGTCAGTCGCACACACAATTTCATTTTCTCATTCTACTCTGTACAATCACGTCTGGGAGCCAATATGTCGACCGAGGATGAGAAAAACCCTTACGAACTACTCAATCTGGGGATCGAAGCGTCGGACCAGGAGATAAAGACAGCATACAGAAAGCTGTCTTTGAAAGTTCATCCAGACCGAGTGCGTCTTACTATCATTCGCAATGCAACGGTTAAATTGATGACAATCTCTCCACAGAATCCGAACAATCCTGACGCAGGTTAGTAGTATAGCTACATTGCGATAAAGACTTAGCTGAGCTGACTTCAGGCTAGCACAGAAATTCCATGAACTCAACCAAGCATATGAGCTCCTGCTGGACCCTTTGCGACGACTCGCGTTGACCTCATCCGTGCGGGCAAAGGAAGCACGTAAAGCTCGATTTTCGAAGTACGATAAGAAGAGAAGAGACTTACAAGATGAACTTGAGGAACGCGAACGCGCATTCAAGAAGCAAAAGATGGACAAGGCGAGCGATGAACGGGCACGAGCGCAGGAAAATGAGCGAATTATGGAACAAGGGAGAAAGATGCGTGAAGAGAGGATCGAAGCTGTGAGGAAGCAAGCGGATGAGGATGCCAAGACTGCCACTGTTGGCACTTCGGAAGATGAGGATGAAGTACCGCCTTTAGGTATGTCGTCGCCATTCGCTACTATTTTATCTTATTCATCATACTTTTTTAGGGAACCTGGACACGACCGTCAAAGTCAAATACTCGCTATCATCGCATCCATCCCTCACTTCTGCCGATTCTCTAGCAGCTCTACTCGAGCAATTTGGGTCCATCGACTCCGAATCTACTGTCCTTTCACTCAAGCCTCCGAAGAAAGCACCTACGAAGCCACCAAAGTCCGGTGTGGCATTAGTACCATTTCGCCAGATTGGTGACGCTTTTGCATCTGTGTGCGCTAGAGGGAGATCGGATCGCGGATTGGATGGAATAGAAATCAGTTGGGCCGAAGGCAGGGAGCCTCCTATCTTGGGTTGGTTGAAGAAGCAAGGGAAACTAGACACGCGCAAGGCACAGTCGGAGCCTGAGAAAGGAGCGAAGGGTAATACATCGCCGCAAAATAGACGATCGGCGTCCTTGTTTGCAAAAACGTCAACTTCACCTGGAGCGTCGACTTTCTCTTCGTTCCCTGAATCATTCGTTCGTCTATACCCTAAATTACCCAATACGCAGGTTTAACTGTTCTCTCTATAGCCAATAGCATCAGAGCCTTCGTCAGAGGCGAAATCCGTTCCACCTACGACCGGTTTAGACTACGAATCGTTAACGCTTATGCGGCTCCGGCAAGCCGAGAGAGAACGGCTGGAACGCGAGATTAGAGAGCAGGAAGCGATAGAAGGTACATGATTATTATCGCCGTCGTATACGTACTTAGAAACTGGGTGGCGTTGTATGCTTTCCTGTTGTCTTATCGTTTTCTGGTTGGTCTCATATGGACATGATATGAAATGTGGACGTTTCGCGTACTGTGCTGAGAATACTAGTAAGTCATCCGTGGGGGAAGCGTACTTCATTAGGTACACTTCCTTTTAACGAATTATTCCAGTGCCTACTTTACAATTTTCTGATCAATCAGTTTTAGTGTACTTGACATAATCATAGGCAACTCTGCAATGCCCTAGCCTATCACTGGCGTTCTCTTGTCTCGGGATCCCATCGTGGTTCTTATATTCATTTCCATATCACTGTATGCTTTACACTCGTGGACTGCAGATCCACTAGTTAGAGTACGTTTTGGCAATACCAGCTAAGCTAAACGTAGGATTGAAAGTACACGAAGAGTATAGCTACAGGCCAATATGGTTTCATCAAAGAAAGATAAAAGTTTAGCGTGTAAATATCTATATTTGCTTTTATGAAAAACAACAGAGATCAGCACCTATGCACAAAAATAATTTTACTGACCTACAGGCACAAAGGCAAGGGAAACTTTATAGTTAAAGTTGGACAGTGCTACTATTACTATCCTTTCTTCATAAATAATACTTAACCGGATGGGTAAAAAGAGCAAAAGAGTAAAGCACCAACATTGTTGAGGTGACACTAGTAGTAATACTATCGGATCTAGTGTCAAGTGTCTTGATTTATGATGAGTGGCCAGACTCAAGTCTTGATTGTATCCAAGTGAATGCTTCTTAGCATTTCAACTCACTCTTTACAACACAGTGCTCATTTAAGCAGTAACATTAGTATGGGATGTTCTAGGCCGACTTCTGTTCACTATGTTCTTGTGGCTGTTATGCAAGGAATATAATTTTAAAAGAAATAAAGTTTTCTGTATTAGCTTTAACATACTTTGGCTTCTATGCCTGTTGGATTGTATTGTGGATGTTGAAAGATTTGCAAATGTTGCTAAAGAAATACTGGAGAAGAACATATTCCTGTATGAGACAGAATCTAGAACAGTTACATGAAGCAAAATCTGGATACATTCTATAATTGATTGAAGTCCTTATTAAGACTATTACCATTCAAAGATTGAATACATTTTGGGTCTACTATTACCTTACATGAATGTCTGTAAACAGAGACTACACATTTGGAGAAGTAATGCAAATAGACAATCAGCAGTGTATAGCATACATATTCATAGACTCTTGCTCTAAAAATAGGGTGGTAATACATTTATGAATATAGATTATATTATATTTTCAAATCTATAAATAGTTTTGCCTCTTGAAAGTGGTGTTTGCATTACTTTGTAGGAACAAAGCTCTTTGAACTGCCACTCAAGATGAACGACTCAGCTGTGGCTTGTAGGAGCCTTGTATTCTACAAAGCATTTCTCTTGCTCAGCTTCATATCCCAAAACCCTGTTACACTCTCTGGCCTTCAAACTATTGCTAATGGAGAAAAGCCTGATCCATTTATTCTCAGAGGCAATTTCGACCATTTAAAACGTAACTTGAACTATTTCCAGACGCCAGAGATGCTGAGCATAGTAAAGAGCTGTGCTGGCAGAGTTCCATGCAAGAGATGTGCAGGAAAAAAAGTCAAGGTAAGTTATTTTGCTAACCCCTGTTGAAAATGTTTATAAGTTTTTAACACAGTGTGTGCCTGTGAATAATCTGGAGGGTATATTCCTTTGTGAGTGCTGCAAAAAGGATGGATTAGATATGTACTGCAAGGTATTTCATGCAGAAAATATTGAAGCCAGGCCATTCATATCATGCTCATATCTATCAGCCAAGACCAACCTGCCGAGTGTGAAGAGAGAAATCCATTCCAAAAAGCACTGAACCAAGTAGCCAAGACCAGATTGATATTCCTAAGTACATCCGTATATCTTCTTTAAGTGGATGAGCTCCTAACACTTAGTGCTATTCAGTCAAGATACTCATCTAAATGTAGATAGTACAAGACAAAATGTACTTAATGAAAATGCGAGGAATGCTGGCCTATATTCCTTCAATAATGGACATCTGCTGTTAGTGTATTCAATAATTAACGTTATTATCAAACTCAATTTTGTTTTGGCACATTTGGTAGATACACTTTTCTGATAGACATAACATAAATCAAAATCACGACTTCCCTGCTTTCCAGAACACTCCTAGATTGTAGGTTCCTGTCTTCATTCAGACATATAATTATTATTCATTATGCATTTGCAATAGGAATAACTTGAACCAGGAATTGGAGTCAAAAGAGCATCCTAGTCTGGGTGGATTGATGCATCAGTGCTACCCAATGTCAGTAGGAACATGGGCAAGTGCTGGGAATACACATCAATCCAACTTTTTATTAGCTGAAACGTCATCTGGACCATCTTCTGAAAGCAACTATCCCTGCCATTCTGGATATTGAGCAGAAAGAGAAGAGAAGGCTAGAGGATACATTTGGCTAGGACTGGACAGACCATATAGTATTTAGATGTTGCTCGTTTGTACAGTCTTAAGTTATGTCTCCTGCTGGCAGAAAAATGAGAAATATAGTTAGTTCGAGTCTGCCAACGCATAAATGAAAGGATTTTCCAATTGACAACAAGGCTTTGTACGGTAAACTAATACTATCAGCCTGAAAAAACATGCAATTACGATTACACTCATGAGTTACAACAATATCTACGAAAGCAAAGCTCTCTAAATTGTTTCTCCTAGCCCTCTTCGATTTTCACGTCATTCTGCAATATAGATAACTTGAACGTCCACTTGTCCTCAGCAGGCGTGATGCATTCCTTTCCCCATTTCAGTCCAAGCGTTTGCCCAAATGGCCACGGGCGTTTCTCAACAAGTAGGGTGTACGGAGTACAACCACGGTCCTGGATGAACTTGATGGGTGTTGGAAGGGGATGTGTTGAGTCGTTACGAACGATCGAAACGATGAGTTCCTAGAGGGTCTTCAGATAAACCACAGGAAATGTAAAGGACATAGTGGGGGACAGGAGCGGCCCGAGACGTGGAAGACGTTCCATCACTTACGGAGACTTCGTGTTGTACAAGGAAAAATGACGCAATCAGGTTAGACTGACCAACCGCCTTTGCCTCTCTTCAGTCCAGAAATCGCAGACTTGACATCAGCAACGTTAAAGCATCTCCAAGCCCTTATGCGTTGACGTACTCAGAAGGTTCAAGAGTGACTTGCACGACATGAGCTAGACGTTTACCAAGAAGCTCTGGAGTGAGTTCAATTCTCGACGAATTTCTTGTCTCTGGTTGTGAATCGGAGTGGCAGTCAGTAAAGACCAGCAAAGACGTTTTTCCCAGACTAAGCAGTGGATACTGGCTAAGAGAATCATAGACATCCTGAAAAGCCATATAGAATCCTCAAAAGAGAAAACAATTTCTTGAAGGAAGAGAGATGAGTGACGAATTTGCAGAACGACTCGGAGAAGAGACGCGACGTGCATGTATTAGATAAGCAGGTCATTCGTTAGCTTACGTGGTTACGTTACAAGGACTGTAACGAAAGGCCAATTCAACGCATATAAGTATTGAACGTGAGCTTGTAGAACAGTTCGTAGTAAATTTGGATGGAACTTCTACTACTTACTTACTGCACTATAAATCTCATGTGCTCTTTATGATACTATCAAGTCTCATCCCAAGTTGTTTGTGACTGTGCTTGTAACGTCACGTATTTGTGTGCACGTGAAGAGTTGTCCATTTTAGGCCCTGGCATGGTAACCATCCGCGCGTACCGCGATCCATACCGTGGTTTTTTCTTACCGCGGTAAATTTTCTCACGGTTACTGCGGTAAACCACTGTACCGTGCCAATCTTCGAGTACCACTGTAGAATATAACTATTCTTTTTTCTACTTAATTCTCAGTTGATAATCTTATTGTTTCACATTAAATATAAGTATATACAATATAATTGTTTTATTTAGTAATAAATAAAGACATTATTAGGGTATATATTTTAAATTTCTACAATGAAAGTCCTCCAAATCAGTGTGAAAAAAGTAAGGAATGGTGGATTAAGACATCTTTTGTCTAATTATTTCAATTGTATGATTGATAGTAGGAAATAAAGGAGTTCCATCCTAAGAACCAACAGCCATTTTAGCTTTGAAAGTGTTTGAAGAAGTGGAATGTTGTATAAAATTAAGTTGACACCTTCTAACAGAGAATACTCTTTCTGCATCAACTGAGGTAGCTATAACAAAGAAATAGATAAGACTCTTAAATATATAAGGAAAATATAACAGAAAGTAAAGCTTACCAGGAGCAGAGCAAAAGTCTATTCCCGTCTGAGCTACACTAGGCTAATATGCCTCTACAGAATACTAGTATTGTATAACTCCACCTAAAGACTGAATAGTCAATGTAGAGACTCAAGGTTCAGACAAATAAGCTTGTATTGCATCACATGGACCTTCATCAATAGTATCACACTGAGTGAGATAGTGTGAATGAGACTAAAAATATATTAGACATATATTATATAATACAAATAAAGTACTTACTGGCTGTAAAGGGTGTGTTTGTCTAGATGAAGATGTACAATTTGGATTGTATTGCTTGTAGGACTGCTCCCAGCATTGGATTACAAGACTCTGGATCTCTTGAACCACAGTTTCAGGAAAGTTCCTCTTGGTAAACCATTCCAACTTCTTGTCTAGCAACATTACTGTATAACAAACACTATTAGAATCCTGTTACAATTTTAAGAATGTAAATAACATACTAACAGTAATAAAATATACTTCACACTCTCTAGTGAGAGTGAAGTACTTGTCACAAACAAGTATTCTAGCTCTAGTAGTAATACAAAGAATGTTAGGCAAATTCTTGTCCTTACTAGCATATTCAAGTGCCTGACAAATGTCAAGCAACATAGGAATTACATCAGAAATGAGAGGAACCTCTACTTTTGAAAAAAGTCGAGTAGGTTCCTTAAGAATCTGTATATGAAATAGGTTAGAAGAGTTAGATAAGTACTGTAAGGACTTACTAAAAGAACATGAAGTAAATCTTGTACAAGAGTTTGTTGAGAAGAATTAAGAATGAAATTTTGAAGTTTCAAATGCTGGACACCAATTAACTGTTCAACAACAGGGTATAAGAGGAGGTATGATTCAATACAAGCAAAATCAGAATTCTACTGAGTAGCAACTTAGTAATCCAGCATTCACTTATTACTATCAATTTTAGAGTTAGGATTATTAACTTTAGTATCAACCAACTTATCAAACCATTCCTTCAAATGTGGTGAATCATTCACCTGTTTTGCAAGACTAGCAATCTAATTATTATTTTAGTATAATATATTTGAAAGAAAGAGTATGAATACCTTATATAAAACCATTTCTGTACTCTACAACTCATTCTGCTCAACCTGTACACCCCTTCCTTATATGTCAGTAATGGCTTTGTTTCAAATAGAAGTAGTAACATATGTATTATGAACTGATTGCCTATTATCATATGTACTAGCATTATCCTTAGTAAGAGAAGCAACAAGCTCCTCTTCCTCAGGTGTGAGCTGCTTCTCAGGTTCAATTACAACCTTAGCTAGAGAAGGATTAGAATCACTATAGAGCTGATAGACCCTAATCTTGACAACTTTACATAGTTTTGCTAGACAGAAAAACAATGAAAGGACTGCCTAGACATAAGTAGTAAATAGACAGTGTAGTGTAACTTGTAAAACACTATACTTACCTTTACAACAAGATTGATAATGTGAGCAAAACAATGTACACACAATTTCATACTATGAAACATTAGTATGAGCTTTTCTAGCTCAGTCACTGTTGTATTACAGTTACCTACATTGTCCATACAGAGTATGTGTACCTATAATATAGTAATCAGTAATGTACAGAATGTTTATAAGAATGACACATACATACTTAGTAAGTTTGTATTACTAAAGGTACTACATTAGTTCCTGGGCCAGATATTGACCTGTATGGCCCTGAGTCAGGCTAAAAGAAATATTTGTTAGGACCTTGTAGTGTAGAGCTATTTAGACTGCCTTAATAATCTGAGAGATAATAGTCAAGGACAGTAATAATGACATGACTATAGTAGCTAGCTTGAAGAGCAATTACACTCCTGTTTCTTTGTGTACAGATACTAATGCTGATACTATGACAGCTAGCTTGAAGAGCAATCATGCTCCTGTTTCTTTGTATACAGATACTAATACTAATACTATAGTACTGTATCCATCATTATTGCCTCTGTTAAACTATAATGTATACTAAAGTTAGACAATAACTTTAGCAGGCATTTACTATTGTACTTGCCTTTCAATCAAATAATACTTACTGAATAAATTCAAGGATTGCTTGATGCACCTTCCCAGAATCAGACCAGATAACTACAACTCCAAGATAAGAAGCACCCATTAGTGTAGTTCAACCATTAATTATAAGATACACAATTCTTACACAATTCTAAATGTATTTAATTAGATGTAGAAGGAAAAAAGTATATTTGTACTTACCTTGAAGTAGTTCCTTACTTGAATTGACAAGCCAGTATAAATGGCTTTAATGTTGCTTGAAACAGTGTTAGGGCTTGGTAGAGATACACTAGATTAGAGTATTGTAACTTTAAGTGTATAATAGTAATCCTTCACAAAATTGAAGGACTGGTTGCTTTTTACACAGTAAAGAGTAATGAGAGTATGATGAGCAGCTTCAGAATAAATAATAGGTGGTTGGGTAGTATTTGTTGTATGATCTCTTAAATTAGTGCAGGCAATAGTAGAATTAAGAAGTAGTAATGTACTGTTCTTTGTACCTATTTGTACATGCTTGATTTCTTGGTGGTTTGGACTGCCATACATACAATTGAAGATAAAGAAGATTTTCCTCATTCTATTATGCTCAACATGTCTGACAGAAATGTTATAGTACTGATATGCTGGAGAAGTCTATTTGACACAGTAGAGAGCTGAATATACAAGAAGTTATTATTATTTGACTAATATTAACACATATACATTTAGAATAATATAATCTGCATTACTAATAAAAGAACTATAATACAGAGCAAGAAAAAAGATAGAAAGGAAGAAAGGAAGAAAGCATACCAAGTATTTCCTTATCATTCATATCCTAAACCTCCTTATCTGTCATGTCATACACTGAACCAGCAGCCTTCCTCTTCCTTTTTGGAGCTAATAGAATAGCTGCTAGGGCTGGTGCTTCTGCCAGACATTTATGAAATTTGGCTTGATGTGCTGATGGCATGGATGGTGTGGGAGAAGAAGCACCAGGGTAGAAACTGGAACTCTGGTACAATTATAATGAAACTGAGCATAAATACTAGTAGGAGATAGAGAAGAATAGCTTTGAGACATTTTTTTTGGGCTTAGAGTATGTATTAGAGTAAGATGTAGCAAAGTAATGAGTTCAAATGAGTGTCTTCGGTTAGAGTATTTTTTTTCCCTCAGCATTGGTGGACACACAGTAAACCACGGTAACCGTGGGAATCCTTACCGCGGTACGGTTACCGTGAGAGTTTCCTTACCGCGCGGTATGGATCCACGGAAAACCCCATCCATTCTAGGGCTTCCATTTGTCCGTTCCTGATCTTTATTTGTTCGTGTAACTGTGAGTTAATGCTGGCCATGTATCAACTACTACCGACCAGACCGGTATCGAATATAATAAATCCTAGCACAAGTAAGCGGGGGGTTTCATGTATGCCTTCACCATGGAAAAGCATTTACGATTCATTTTCTCAAGGAAAGGCCAGAGCGCGATTCGGGCGTCTCCTTTTAGTAGGCTTTTCAAGTTTTACCATACATGCTGTCATGTTCACTAAACCTTCACCAGATAGTACTCTCCATTCCACCGTTTGTGTCATCAGACGAAACCGTGTCTACAGAGAAGACCACCTCCTTGTCCGTGGTGTACTCTAATAATCCCAAATCGGCGTCCTCGCAACATCCATCAAACTGGCGTGGCTCTGTTGCCCATTCGGACACAGACGATATACGGTAATGTGGCTGAAACTTCGCGTTGTGATCGAAGATATAGAGGTATACTTCGCTCAACGGATATCCATCTTTGGGAGGCGAATCGCCTCTCTTAATTCTATCTTCTAGCAGATTTATGTCGTGCGCTCTTGAGGTTCCAATGTCCACTTCTTGATTTGCTTTGTCTGGAACCGGTTCATAGTGGTCTCCTCCGCCCTGGCCTTCCCGATTACCTCCCTCCGCATGATTGCGGTTGCCGAATTCTCTATACTCTCTTCGCCATCGTCTAGTTCTCGATTCCTTAAGTTTTGCCTTCTGCCCCTCGGGGTCTTCATTCCATCTGGCCATTTCTTCCTGAAGCCAGGAAGATTGGAATTCGGAGATTCGACAGAGTATGAAGTAGATCTCAACGAAATCAGCGAAGTCCAGAACTTCATATTTGCCGATGATACTCTGCACGATCTAAGTAGAATGAGCTTCAAATAAGAGACAAGAAAGACAAATGTATTTACCACTGTGTCTCCCTTCCAGTAAGACACATAGAACGTGAGGACGTTGTGATCCAGGCTAGCACCGAATACCGGCCCATCTCTCAAACAAAGTGCCCTTCGATGCAACTGACTTGAATACATAGTAAGTTGAATTCGACGCCTTGCGACTTGGGGCTTATGTAACTTCGCCTCAAAGAGAAATGTTATAATCGATCTTTGTATATAGATCAAATCTGGCGACGACGCCCAGGAGAAGACGTAGTTATTATTGAACCTCTTGACAACAGTGTCCCAGTCGTCACGGAAATTCCATGTTACTACGGTGCCAGCTCGAACGGTTTCAGGACTGTCGGGTAGAGCCATCTCGACCTCTGACCTATGTGTTAAAATCAGCAGTTACCAGAAGGGAGGTATATTGGTGTATAATAAGTACCTCCATGCTTGGTCGGCACCAGGACGGAGTTGGAATGCCAGTTCGATTAAGTCATGTATCGCCTTACGGATCGAAGCTTCACCGCCCGCCGTACTCGCTTGAAATGAGATAGATCTCCAGCAAGCGACGAGAAAGAATAAGCCTTCTTCAAAGCCATAAGTGTCGCAATCCTCGAGCCTTGTATCACTCAGTCCATTGCGCCACGTCTTGAACTTTCGGATGGCCTCGGCACCCTTCGGATCGCGCGATACCAGACGTTCGACTCGGTGCAGAAGCTAGCAGATTATTTAGCATTTTAATTCGAAGAATGGAAGTATTAATCTCCTACGCCTTCGCTCTGGATATACCTCGGGTATTTGAGCGACGCCATAAAATCGTCGAATGTTTCATTCTTCCAGTCCTCCGATACGAAACGTATTTTATGCTTGCTTGCCCAAATGTCCCATTCGTCAGGCATTTCACAAAGCCTGGACACGACGATCAGGATTATGATGTCGCAGAACGCAATAAGCATACCTGGAAGCTGAGATGATAGAGACGTGGCTCGATGCTCTGAAAGCCATTCTACATAAGCCATATAAAGTGATACGAGCACACTGATCGTACCTGGTCTCCGCCGAACCGACACTTCCGACTTTCTGAGCTTGTTGATTGTCCGCGGAGGACTGCACTGTTCCAGCAATACAGGGATCGGTTACATTTTCAAGACCCTCTCTGTATGTTGTCTTTGAGTATGGCCATGGAAGCGAAAGGGTAAGCATGGAGACATACCCTTCAGCTTCGCTTGGCATTGCAAAGTTATAAAGAGTGTCAAGGCAGGCCTAGTAGAAAGGCATATATGGGTCGAGCTTACGTTTCTTTGATATCCTATTGTATTCAGAGTTGATGCGGCTGTGACGGTTCCAGGCTGAGACAAGAGTTGGTAAATCACGTTATTTTATTTTTAGCTTCGATGTACGTACGTCATCTGGCTGGTTCGGAAAGCCTATGGGTCTATTAGATAAGCGGGTCATTTGTTAGTAACTTACCTGATTGCATACAAACAATTCGTAACGAAAGGCTCATTCGACACATAGAAATATTGAACGTGAACCCGCAGAACAATGGCCAGTAAATTTAGATGGCACTTCTAATACCCACATGCCACATTGCAATGAGTTCATTATCAAATTTCAACCAAGTTATCTGACGTTCACGTGAAGAGTTCGTCCAGACTCTCTGCAACGGTCCAATTCCGTATCTCTTGCAGACGTTCTGCGGTCTACCAAGCTTGTTGTGAATTTCGGGTATCTTTCTGTCCTGCTTTCTTGTCTCGTAACCCTTCTCTGCCTGCCACTGTGCTTTGGGCGTCAACTGCAGACGCACGCTATACCTGACTTAAACTAACCTTGGCCTTTCCACACCAGCGAACTCCCTTTCCCCAAAGTATTAGTGTGTCTAGTAGTACTGCTTACTCCCACATTGTGCATTAACGGAAGATAGGAAACTATGTCCGATCAACGGACGTCTGGCATGCAGCAGGCTTTCTTACACAGCCACTCCTTGAAGATTTCGTTTCACTACTATGCAATCAAAAAGCAGCCTGATATACACGCGACGTATCATGTACTCACACTCCTTTGGCGATGCCGACGAACTAACGTAGCCATCAGAAGGGGTCCTTTAAACTTAAAGATTCTGCAGTTTCATGAACAGATAACTAACACAAGATGATTCTACCAACAAATTATGTTCTCGTCATTTTTGGCCAGAAAAATCAGACTTATTTCTACTAGTGGCTCATGTCCGATGCTTTCAGAAGTAGTTCAGGTCGATGGGACGACATCCAGGCTCGAATCGCCTCGAGAACCAGTCAGCATCAGCTCTCTCTTGTTAATCTTGTTACAAAATACTGGCTTTTCCATTGCAGCGCGTTGGAGCTCATGTTTCATAACTGGGACTATGGCCATGATGCAGAAATTCTTTGAACGCATGTGGACGAGTGCACAAAGTCGCGCAGATTCCCACTTCATGTGTTGTTTCTCCATCCGTAGAAGCGTGCCTAATTGGCATTAGATGGCCATGGTATCCAAACACCACGTCAACATGCATGTAAACCTCAAAACTCTAGCCTTTGCATATTGACTAGGGCTCGGTACCGTACCGTATACGGATACAGGCCGTATAATACGACCCTTATACGGATACGGCTCGTATAATACGGTGCCGTATTTCTGAACCCGAAAACCTATACAGATACGGTACGGCCGTATACGGAACGTATACGCCATATACGGATACGGCGTAGTTGCTACATTTACCAAGGTGTAGCATGAAATGTAAGGGGCTACATCATTGTGATATTACCTCTTTAGTATAGAAATATTGAATTCTACCTATATTATGCCTTAATCTACATGAAATGTATAAAATTTGACTTATTGACATTTTGTTATGTAATTTAGTCTGTGATATTTGTCATAAAGTCGAGTCATGTGATGTACCTATATATCGGAATATATATCAGATTGCACATACTTTTACAATAATAGTGCTGAATATATTAGTAAATGCTAGTATAAGTGTCTGAACATTGAATACTACTTATTAGAGCTTCAGCATTATGTTTAGAGCAAGAGTTTCTTTCATTTAGTAGCTGTATATTGTATACAGGTGTATACGGTCCGTATTATACAGACTATATACGGTTACGGCCCGTAAAATACGTGCCGTATTTTTGAGTCAAAATTTTTATACGGATACGGTACGGCACCGTATACGAAAATGCCGTATCCGTATAATACGGTACGGGACCGAGCCCTAATATTGACCCAGCAGATAGCAAGGACACAGCTCCCGTACCACTTCTCAATGTCTCAATGGTATATACCTACGTCTTCCGAGTGTGAATGCTTTTGGCATGTATCTTGCAAAATGCTATGCTCCTCGACTTTGCCATTCCTCTTAGTCTGTGGTGCACGTGCCATGCAGACCAGCGTATTTAGATCGCCTTACGAAGATACCCTGTGTTGATGTCTGTACTAGAACTAGAGGACGTTCGGCTACAATCAACAATATTCTACCTCAACAGTTCCGATGAGCTTTTCTAGTGTCCACTCGTTTGGATCCATGTCATGCAGGTGACAGATCTTGTAACGTTAAAGTGCCTGGACTTAAGCAGTTGCAATTACATGGTTTGTCGCATAAAACCAAGATTGCCTCTGGCTCACAATACTGAAGATGCATTTCCTTTCGAGGTATAACTTAAATTGTGAGCTTGATAGCTCAAATATATGTCGAACAGAGGCCAGTGTGCTTCCCGTCTTAGATTAATTGAGATAATTGAGACCAGCCAGATAGCTAACACTATTGAGAATCACATACTATGTTTACAATTTATATATGTCATTCACATTTGGATATAGAACTTACTGTTCATATAATCTTGTGCACGGCTGACCTTGAATAATACCTTATTATAATATAGTTACTGTGTTTTAACTTTCACAAGCCAAGGTAGGCATTTGGGGAACAATGAACAGTAACACTATTGGATGAACGTTTTGTTCATGCACCACCACTTGTAATAAGCTCCTTATGTCTTGTATACCATCAATCTTTCTGTAATGCTCCTAGTGATTATGTATCTGTGTCCTTCTCACTTTTTCTACTCTATTCTGTCCTATCATCTACTACTACTCTCTTTTCCGGTGGCACAAGAGAATATGACTGGCCATATCAATCAGAGCAGCTCTCACAATATGTTTACAAATGTCGGAAAAATATTTGTTTTCTGGTCTTTCTCATACCTTTAACAGTCTAATTGACTTTCATTTTCTGAGTTAATGGTCTACAAAGTAAGTAAAAGAAACTATTGACTTTATTTAACCCATTAGTTCGGCACAATACCTCGCATTTGTAATTTTACATTTAGTACATGTGAAGTTTATCATTACAAGACACATTTGCAAAGACAATTCATGAAATATACACTAACGAAATTTGTTTAGTTGATCAAATCCATGGGAGTGGGTGAGTTTGGTGGGCAAAGGAGGTCCAAGTCTTCAAAGTCTTCCATAAACAAGTCCGGGTAATCCGCAGACGTGGATTCCATCATCTCTTTGACCCTGCGTGCAACCTCGATCTCAAACATACGGTCCTCCAGCGCGCGAGCAATAACCGGTGGTGTGACTGGCTTCGGAATAGCCTTCGAGTCCTCGGGAGAAGCTTCATTGGAGAACGACGATGAACGCGAGAGTGAACGGAGAGGCGTGTTTGTAGGAACACCGAATGTATAGTGGCTATCGATGCTGCGGCAGCTACTCACGCGGCTGAGGGTTCGTCCTCTAGTCTCGCCCTCCTCGTCGTCTTCCTTTGAAGAAGGGGATGGAGCACGGGATTGGTCAAGGGACTCGTCTTCCTCATCGACCTTTGAAGCGGAGATGGTGGAGCTAGGAGTGCCGAATCCACAACCGCCATCACGAGAGGGCCAACGACGTAGATCAGGATAAGGAGTGACGGAGCGATTGTTTCCGAAAGTAACTCGAGGAGAATACATCGGAGGAGGGTACGGCGTAACAGAACGCTCTCCGACGCGGCGTGCGGCTATCTCCTGGCGTACAGAATCGGTAGACTCGGGTGAGCAAGAAACAGTGTCGCGGGAAGGAGACATGTCTAGACGACGTTCAGTGTAGTGGAGGATGGAGATGGGTGAGGGTTTGTGGAGGATGGTAGTTGGCATCGTGGCTAACGCGGCCTTAGGAAAGTTCGCAAATAAGTGGAGACGATGGATGTATACGCGGAAGGAAGAGAAGCAATAAGGATATAATCCGAGATGAGAGAAAGTGAGCTCTGCAACGAGAGATGAGAGAGAGCTGAAGGAAACGTTCGTTAAAGCGGATGCGGTTTTATAAGCCCTCGGCAAACGAATGCGTCGAGGTATGGTTGTTCAAACGTCCTCGTTCGGCCACACAGTACCACCTTGGTAAACCATGTGGGCCAATCAACGTGCAAGATAACCTTCTTTCGGTGGTGTGAATGAACGACCACGGCGTCATTTCTCTTGATTAGTCAAATTAGTACTTGAATTAGGTATTCTTACGCTTTGTCTTAGTAAATGTGCGTGCGAGTGTGGTACATTGGGTGTGTTCTGCTTATGATCGGCCACATTGAGGTGAGTCATGGGTAGGCCCACACTTCAGAAGTAACTAAGATACTCAACAAAAAATGTATGGAATTTCGCACTCCAATCGACTTCTGTAATCGTCTACGTTTACAGATAAACCCGCTCTTGGAGGCATTTCCACTGGATCCAGAAGGATGATTGGAACGAAACAACATCGTTTCCGGTCAGTAACGGACGCATTGACTCCTCTCGCAATAAATTTTAGTCCGCACAGAAGCAGCTAAGGCCCGAGAACGATAAGGGTTGTTAAGGAGACCATTCGCATTCACTATTCTTACCACCAACACACGCCTACATAATCCAATCTCTTCCCAGGTCATGCTGATGATACACTATCAGGTCAAGGTAATAGTTATGCTAACTATTACTCACACTTCTGCACGCTTGCTTTGATCAAGGAGGTGACGTAGAGTAATTGCTTGGACATCGACTTAGTCCGCTGGACATTTACACCTGGAAAATGTTCTGAGTGTTTTAGTGTTAACTGTTCTTGAAAAGGGACTACAGAGTGCAATTAGATGATAGCTCTTGTCACATTATAAGCGCAAATAATACACATACGTGATTGCTGGACATGTCCTGCGAGAAGCCCATTGGCGCGAAGTTTGAAGACCGACACAATAACATTTCTGTCGCTGTATGCCCTGGCCAGCGCCTAGAATGTGGCCTAGGGAGGGACATTAATTAGGAAGAGAGAAGTAGTCGTCCAAGACGATCTAAAAAACCAGGAACATCTTGTCTCAGGTGCCTTCAGTCGGTCCCCGCTCAGCAGTCCGAACAGAGAACAAACATCTCTAGTAGGGAGTAAAGCTTCTGCTTCACGATTACGGTAAAAAAAATTGATAGAAATTTTCATCGTTGCTAGACAATACAAGGGAAGAAATGGAAAGCTAAACACAGGTAAGATATAGGCGCTAAGATAAAAAGTAAGATACTCAAGCGTATCCTTCTAAAATCAACATCCTATAATGAGATTTCGGCCGACTCTCCGTTATATAGAGAATACGATAATGTCGAATTTTTTTTACCGAAGAGAAGTATGCTGGAAATTGAGCAGTGAAAAGGTCGTTCGTGAAATAATGGAATTCATCCGCGGTCTCAGAGCGAAGCAGTCGACAAAGCACCGTGAGTTGGGTGGTTATCTAATTTAAATCTCACTCTCCGAAAGAAGCTAATCGGGAGTCATTAGAGGAGAAGAAAGTACGTAAGATGGGGACGTACCATGTTTGGAATGCCATTCATAATTTTGTAGACGTGTCCGCAGTTCCGGCATACCATGGCTCCTTCCTCGACGTGAATCTATCCATCCAAACATATTTGTTATCCAATAGAGCTTGCAATGGGGAGCAGAACATACCTCGAGAAGTACATGGTGCAAAGCTTTCAAAAATTCGTCATCCAACATCTCAGGCTGTTCAACGGGCAAGGTCGTATTGCCGAGCTATAGACCAAATCAGATCTTCTCACTATACACGTTCTGAGATCGCAACATGCGAACCTGCTTCGCTGCATCAACAAGGGGCTTCCACTCAATCCTCGGCGCGAAGTTCCTCAGAAAATCCGCGTTGAACTCTGTCTCACGCAGCTCGACTTTAACGTCCTGAAACCGCAGTGGGAAATTATTCGTCGTGCACCCTTTAACGTGGCATGCAAGTAGGTTATGTGTTATGAGCCGAACCATTCTCTTCGTGTATGTTATGAAGAGAGTATGGTTTTTGACATGGGTGAATGAGTGAAGGTTGTGCAGCAGACTTAGCGGGCGCAACTTCTAGAAATTTCAAATTTTGATTCAGTTTATGTGCACGTGATCAATATATATCACGTGCATTATCATAAACGTGGGCACTAGCAGGCGATTACCTCTTCGGAAGAAGCTTCCCAACTCCCTCTTCAATCTTCAGTCCTCCTCCCTCATGCGGCCGTAATTGATCCATTGCTCATCAGTGCTTATAATACATGCCACGTTATGGCTGTTTTTTTGACTCACCTCTGTTTACCGTTTGTCATCCAGCGATGTAATCCCCCGACAAGTAGATCAATCAAGGTCTTTGAATACCCACTAGTAACGGACCGTCAACGACAATGTTCATAATTTTGGCTTGACTGAGTTGTTACGTGTCTCATTTGACACTGCTTCACGGCCTACTGTGAACTACTCCAATAGTGTACCCATGTACTGAAATGCTTGTAGATGCTTGTAGACAGTCGGTTGAGGATACTGGAACATCGCGAAATTCTATTCTCGTTGACGACGACAATGCATACCTTCCTTTGATTCCAGCTGCTCACCACATTCAATGTGTAATGTAGCATGTTTTTTTGCAAGTGCCGCTTCTATCACCCTGCTCAGCCTTTGTCGGGATTTCATTTGGAGACCCGGCTTTATTTTCAGACCGATCTGCGCCGACTTTCGGTCTGAGTCACCGCCTCTACGCCCTGTAATTTTTAATCCGATCAGACCAAGAGATAAAGGCGTCATAATCTCCGTCAACCAGCTATATCACCTGCTAAGTGCTTCTTATCGCCTGTCGTGCACAGCCTCACAACACTCTCCATTCCCGTTGTTTCAGTACGGGCCTCGACTTCGCTTCCCTGACTCCGATCCCGAGACACGCGGTCTTTTTGTGGCCAACCCTTCAGCACTGGGTATATAACGTACTCAAAGCGCCAGAAGCGGTACATACTCATATTTCGTACTTACCTCGACCGATATCGATACCACATCTAACAACACTATGATGCATCCAAAGTTCAGGACCAAGACTGCTTCTTTCCTATATGACGAGCTACAAGGCAAGGTCACAGAGACGACTCTTGCATTTGTATGTAATTCTGTCGACGCCGCTTCTCTGGATTCGATGCTGAGAGATCCGAGGACGTTTCCGAGGGACATCTCAACTGTATCGCTGGCGTGCGTACAACTTGCTTCCTCAAATTAACGAAAATGTTAATCTTTTGTCATTTTCAGAGAATGTGTTCGAACGGATTTCAATGATCCACGAAGACATTACACCGTCGACTTATTTGATAAGCACTTAATACCAATAGGCTCGATACGAGTTTATCTCGAAGGAGACTGTCGCGTAATGCAGAATGCCAGCGACGAGACTATGCTCGTACGTCTTGGTTTCTTCTTGTATTCATTTATTCACTCTGAACTGATTTTGTACGACTTTCCCAGATGTACAAAGCAAAGATAGGACTCCTATGAAGATATGCGTCGCGTCAGGATCCGAGTTCAATTGAAAATATTTTTGGTAGCACGGAGCATCACGTATCGGTGTGGACGGCCCGCGTACCATCGGCCCTGGTTTCGTCGTTTGCCTCCGAGAGAGCCGGCTCGAGGCTCATGATCGACACTATTGCGGAGCAGGGAAACACCGCAAAGGCTGTGCCGGCATTTATTCATCTGCGGCATCAGTTGGTATTCATTTGTGCATCTCTTCAGTAGTGCTACAATAACTCCGTGCCGCTTCCTGTGTTATTTGCTCATTTATTTTATTATCGTTCTCAACCCTTAGACTTATGGCTGATTAATAGAGCGTAACCATTTGATCAATTTTTGGCTCGATCTTGATGTCCTTTAGAACATGTTGAGACTGTAAAACTTACTCAGAGTGTAAGAGATAGATTTCTAATAAAGGCACACACCAAGTCAATCTCAGACTGCTCATGAATACCGACTGTGCCTGTACCATTTCAATTGGAAATCGTGTTCTGTATCACGGATTCAGCTCAAGCCCCTCATTGCATCATAACCAAACTTAAACCTCAGAGCGGTAGATGTACAAAAATATCAGAGACGCTGCCCCACAGGATGGCAAATAAACACAACTATAACGCGACTTCATTATACCTATGCTTGTATTTGTATGCAGAATGCAGCTCATTGTGCTTGGACTCAAAAATCAGTAGCACCGTTTAAATCCTTATTTTTCAACCTAACGCAATGCAACATAATAAATACCAGGAACACCTGCTAGGCCAAGGAGCAATGTAATCTCGGAGAATTCGACCACAAAAGCCGAAGTCACTCCTGTTTGTTTAAAAATAATATTGTGTGTGGCAGCTTACTGTATATGGACGTTCGGGTCGGTCCGGACGGATCCGATGAAGCAAGAAGAGTGGCTGTGTAGTGGACCGAGGCATTGGCGGCTTGGACTGTGTCACTTCCTGTCTTGTGTCTGACTTCGTCAGCTGTCTGAGTCTCTGCTGCCTACCAATGCCATGACGATGGAAATAATTGGCGAGAAGAATGACTCCGCGAATCAGCAACACGAAATTACTCCTGGTACTGTTGTTCTATTAGTTTCTCCTGCACGTGTGGACGAGACATTGCATCCATGCCAAGTGCCACTTCTCCGGATCCCTTACAACGTTATTCTCTTATACTCTACCAAACCACGCAAATGGCTTCTCTACTGTGATAGAGCTATATGCGGTGTTGATGGCCACCTTCGATCAGCAGCTACGGATATTAGCCAGGAAGACATGGACGACGGCGTTAAGCCTGATGACCACTATGTGTACCATCTTCACGGTGACCCAAACTATGTTGATAAGACCTTGAACGATAGGCCAACCAGTTGGGACTCATGGTCTGATCGATCTCACACAATTCCAGATGCCTTTGAAGCATACTACGGAGGGTGTCCCTTCACGAAGACCGTTATTGTAGCTTGTAAAGTACACCATCTCATTGAACATGCAAACGATGATGATGTGAGTTATGACACTTTCCGAATTACAACAGTATAAGGTTTTAAACACCTTTTAAAGTACTATCGAAATATCATTGCGTCACGAAATGGTCGGGAGGCTCCAATTAATGTCGGAGAGAAGCAGAACATATTAGTCATGAGCGCTAATATTCACATACTTTCCTTGAGGGCGAAGACTGTAGCGTTTTTGAAGGTTTGGCCAGTTTGTTTGTTGAAAATTGTCTCATGTACTAAGCTACTCCCAGACACCAAACTCTATTTTGAAGACGAACGAGCTCCCGGGTGCAGACCAAGCCACCCCCGACGACTACCGAGTTACGGTACATTGCTTTTCCGAAGACATGGTTTATCGGCGAAGCGCTAATCATGGTACTTCCTCTGATCTACGGAGAGGATGTGGTCTGCGACGACCACTGTCCACGTCCCTACCCGACGACAATAGTTATCGCCCAAATGACACTATATTAGATCTTTTCTATGCGCTTGCCTTGCTAGAGGCGTGGGGTGAAAATCGTGTTGGGGACGAGGAGAAAGTGCTTCGTGAACGGAAGAGAAAGGAACGCATTGCTGCAAGAGCAGCACGGCACAGTGCCCGTAATGCAGAGTCGGAGGAGGAGCCTTACGATACATGGGATTTCCTACTCGACCTAAATTATTTACTCAGGGGTACGTCGCGAGCAGAGGTAGAAGCAAAGCAAAAGGGACAGGAAGAGCGCGAGTCTCAGGAAAGAAATCACTACACAGACGAATGGCGGAAAGGAGTTGTTGTCACTAGTGGGCCTCCCCGCTCTCCCAATGTGATGGACTGCAACGACGAATTTGCGGGTGACGGTCCCAAAACTTCTATTATTGATGGTGAAGAAACGGTCAGGGTTGATGAAGTGCTGAACAGGTCACCACTGCGGTAGTCGTTGCCATCAGCGGAATCTCGGGCTGTTTCCTCGCCGTCAATAGAAGTATCGGGCCAGGCAAGAGGCGATAGTGCTTCTATTATTTGTACTAAGTGTTCCGATGAAAATACCTGATTGGTCGCCAACAAGCAATTTTTTGATAAAGAGGACAATCAGTAGTAAATAATTCTGTCTATACTACTGAAATACAATGTGTATGTAGCCAGATGTGAAGCCATGCTGAGAATGAGGTGAGCCAGACAGACAAAGCGGAGACGGAATGGCTGTGCAGTGGACGGAGATAGACTAAATTCACGTGTCACTCCCGCCTTATGTCTGACTTTGTCGCTGCCCCTGCTGCCACTTTCCCTCCACGGTGAAGATGGACAATACCGTGACTCTATCGGTTGCTCCTGCTCGTGTGGACGAGATATCGCAACCATGCACAATGCCACTACTCCAGATCCCATTCAACGTCATTCTCTTGTATTCTACTAAGCCAAGGAAATGGCTTCTCTACTGTGCAAGAACAATATGTGGTGCCGATGGACGTCTTAATTTCAGAAGTGGGTTTATTAGCCAGGAAGATATGGACGGGACCGTCGAGCCAGGTGACCATTATGTGTATCAACTTCACGGTGACCCAAACTATGTCGACATGGACTTGAAACACAGGACCAGCCGAAATTCATGGTCGAGTCAGTCTCACATTTCCCAAGACGACTTAAAAGACTACTATGGAGGGTGCCCCTTCTCGAGGTTTTCTGTTGCACGTTGTCAAGTGTGTCACCTTATTCCGCACTCAAAGGGCGACACCGTGAGTTTTAATATTGTTGAATAATCAATGCAAGTTTAATATCTTGCATAGTACTATCAAAACATTTTAGCCCCACGTAGTTACCCGGGTGCTCAGATTAGTGTCGAAGAGAAACAGAATATGCTATTCATGGATGTCGGTATTCACATGATTTTCGATAGGGACATGATTGTCGGGTTCTTGAAGGTTTTGCTGATTTATCTCTCGAAACTGTCCTATGTACTGAGCCACTCCTAGACACCCAATTTTGCTTTAAAGACGAACGAGCTTCCGGGTGCAGACCAAGCCTCCCCTGACGAGTACCGTCTTACGGTGCACTGCTTTTCTGAAAACAGGGATTGCCAACGAGATGCATATCATGGTACTTCCTCTGATCTGCGGAGAGGATGTGGTCTGGAAGAACCGCCGTCCACGTCTCTACCAGACGACAACGACTATCGTCCGAACGACGTGATACTCGATCTCGTTTATGGGTCTGCATTGCTGGAGGCGTGGGGTGCTCAGGATGCGAAGGAGAGATGCAGAGCCCATAGCAAAAAATACTACAGCGAGGGACCAGGTGTGCAAGATGAAGATCGTGCTGGGGACGAGGAGAAATTGCTTGGTAAACGGAAGAAAAAGGAACACTCTGGAAGACGAGTACGGCGCAGTAAGCGGCGGGTGAATCAAGCAGAGCCGGAGGAGCCGTACGACACATGGGATGTCCTACTCGACCTGAATTATCTACTCAGGGGTACGTCACGAGCAGAGGTTGAAGCAAAGCGAAAAGAGCAGGAAGAGCGTGAGGCTGAGGAAAGGAAACACTATGCGGACGAGTGGCGGAAAGGAGTCAGTAGTGGGTCTCCCCCTTAGTGCTCCGCGCGTAGCGTATACGCATACGTGCGTAAAATTTCCCACGTATACGCATACACACGTATAATTACGGGCGTAAACTGGGTCAGCAGTAGGGCTTGGTACTGTACTGTATACAGATACAGGCTGTATAATACGACCCTTATACAGATACAGCTCGTATAATACAGTACTGTATTTCTGAACCTGAAAACCTATACAGATACGGTACGGCCGTATACAGAACATATACACCATGTACAGATACAGTGTAGTTGCTACATTTACCAAGGTGTAGCATGAGATGTAAGGGGCTACATCATTGTGATATTACCTCTTTAGTATAGAAATATTGAATTCTACCTATATTATGCCTTAATCTACATGAAATGTATAAAATTTGACTTATTAACATTTTGTTATGTAATTTAGTCTGTAATATTTGTCATAAAGTCGAGTCATGTGATGTACCTATATTATAGTATATATCAGAATATATATCAGATTGTACATACTTTTACAATAATAGTACTGAATATATTACTAAATGCTAGTATAAGTGTCTGAACATTGAATACTACTTATTAGAGCTTCAGTATTATGTTTAGAGAGAGAGTTTCTTTCATTTAGTAGCTGTATATTGTATACAGGTATATACAGTCTGTATTATACAGACTATATACAGTTACAGCCTGTAAAATACATACCATATTTTTGAGTCAAATTTTTTATACAGATACAGTACAGTACTGTCAATCTCTAGTACCAGTTGAGGTAGAAGAGGTTAGTTGAGTCTGCAAGGTACAGATGCTGAGAGGGGTCAAGAGTGAGAAGGAATAGGTAGATCCAAGCAGAACATACAAGTTCTAAAGGTGACAATTAACAAGACAAGAGTAGTGTAGAATGACAAAGCCACACTTTAGAACAAGGCAATACAAAACAAGACAAGGTAAGAGGGAATGTTTACTGAGGAGACTGTCAAACTACACACTAAGAGTTGTAGTAGAGAGTAACTTCCTCCCAAGTACAAATTACATGAGAGTATTTATAGAAATTATGAGTCCTTTGTAGCTACTAGTCCTTTGTGAACAAATCCACCACTGTCTCCTTTGTATCAACCCATTCAGGACTCTGGATCTGAGTCCCCTTTGTATTGATCAACCAGCTGTCTAAAGGCTTAGAGTCTTACCTTTGTGAATCAGAACTAGAGTCTAGAACCCAACTAGTCTGAGTTGAGCAACCAAGACTATTGTGTAGGTAATGATGACATAATCAAAGGATTGCTGATGTGAGGATGATGCAACTTTGATACAACTGAGCCCTTCTGATCAGAATGTATCAGAATGTATGTGTTACATGAGTGTGACATCTCCCAGGTGTTTTAGAATGTGACTGTCCCTATTCACACCTAAGAGTGTAAATTTGCAAACTGGCACACTTCATGTTTTGATCTTCTACTTCTTTTTGAGTTTGTCCTTCTTCTTCAACTATGTCATTGTTGTAAGAAGTGAATCAGGTCTACAACTGAGTGTAGGCCCTTGCTTAAAGGATGCAGGAGTTGCTACAGTGTGTAAGGACAGTAGATTGGCTATTAGTAGTAACAGAGTAGAGGGCAGAACTGGTGTAGTTGTAGGTAAGTTCTTGAACATTATATTGTCTCTGAGTCTTCTAACAAGACAGTACAGTTGGATTGGGATACACTCACTGTATCAAGTGTGTAGGCCAGCTTTGTGCTTACTGTACTATAGTAGCTCATACTTTAACTCAAAACATAGGTGTTATAAATTAATACAGAGTATAGTAGCTGTAAGGATGCTCTGATTAGTGAACCACTTCAAGGGTATGAAGATACTATAGCTGTTAACAAACCAAGCATTACTCCTCTAACAAAGTAGGTAGTAGAGGTTGTAGTTCTGAGACTGTCTGATGTGGTTAGGCACACTATCTAGGATGCTGAGACAGGTGCTCCTATGGGTGAACCAGACATTCTGCCAGGTTCTGAGCTAGAGTGTGAGTTGTCTGTGTACTGAGTACACAAGTAGGATTAAATACTAGATAATGAGAGGTTGGATGTACTCCTTTGTGAGTAGTAAGGAGTACAACTAGACTGTCAGAATAATAAGGAGGACAACTCAAACAGTATGTAGTCCCTTCTTTACTTATTAATGATTTGACTGACTACTACTAGTTACTTGATCTAGATACAGATTACATATATTTAGACAGGAGGTGTTCTGTGTTGTATGTATTGGACTTCCACAAGACAGACTGGGTAGTAGAGGAGGTTGAAAACAGACAGGTTGAGTTATAGTTCTGGAACAGTTCTCTAGTACTAGAGTCAGTACTAGACAGTGGCCTGACACCTTTGATGAGTCAGAGGTGTAGTAACTGTGTCTGTTAGTATATAGTGTGCATTCAAGAGTATAGTAAGACAATTGTATACTTAGTATACAAGAAGAGTAAGATCTGTTACTCTCTTACAAGGACTGGTAAGGTGGTAAGGGATACAAGGTTAAGGCAGGGGAGGACAATAGTGACAAACCCATACCCTGTAGCTAGACTGTTGAGAGTGTGTCTGAAGGATCTGGGTAAGTTGTTCTGAGATCAATACTAATAGCTTTTAAAGACAACATTCTTCTAGGTGAACTCTTGGAACACTTGTTGGACAACAGTAAGTTCTGAGAGGATCTAGAGCTCAAACATAAGCTTTGTGTCCTCAGAAGGTAGGTGGCTACCTATTGTACAATGTTAGATACAATAATACAGAACATAGAGTAGTTACAGACTAGGATGAGTGTAAAGGTAAGGTGTTGAAAGGATGGACAGAAGGATGGACAGAATTAGACATTCTGTTCAGAACAACTGAACTAGCATAAGTGAGACAGTCAACATAAAAGCTGTCTGTAAAAGTAGCCAAATATAATCCCTCCTCTATAGTTTTGGATAGTATTTTCTGTATGTTTCTAACAATGTGTGATGTTACCAAAGTACAAGTGTGATAATTGTAAGGTAATAAGAGTGACTCAGTATTAATAGGTAAACAACAGAGGCAAGGCCATATGTATACTGAAAGTAAGACAAACTAACAGAACAAGAACAGAATGAGAACAGAACAAGTACAGAACAAAACCAAAAAAGAAACAGAACAAAAACAGAACCAAAATAGAACAAGAACAGTGTGAGAACAGAACAAGAACAGAACAGAACAGAACAGAACAGAACAAAGCTCTTAGTACATGACTTTGAGACTGTTATGACTAAAGAAATACAAAAGTGGTCTAAGGGCTACTAGACAAAAACCTGTGTACAAAAAACCTAGTAGGAAAAAATGTACTACAGGGAAAACCATGTAGGTTCAAAGTATAAGTTTAACTATAATCTACAATTAGTTAAAAGTAAAATCAAAGAAAAACAGAAGATAGAGTAGAACAGGATTAGAACATTGTCTAGAATATTATAAGGGGTTAATAGAAAAAGGCAAATTCAAGAAAGTAAGGAACACATAAGTCTATAGTGGTTGGCCACAATTGGCCTTTAGTTAGAGTCAGAGTCCTTAGAAGGCTTGTCCAACAGTGGTAGGTTGTTAGTGTCATTGATTTCATTAGCTGGACCGAAGTTTTCAACAAGACATGTAACTGGAATCAAGAGTGTAGTGTAGGCAAAGTATGGAACCAAGTAGAACACTGTAATGTGAAGACAGGAGACCAATCTATTGAGTTCAGCTACAATATAGGATCCTCCTTGTGTACAACAGACTACTATGTACAGTCCAAGATAGTATGGCTTGGTTTTTTGTCTAAGATCCATTTGTGATTTAGAGTTGTGTATGAGGACAAGTCAACTGGGTTCAAAGTTAAAATCTTTGATCAAGTGTTTGTGTGTTTCTTCAAATTGTTAGAGTAAAGCAATCTAGTCTGTATGGATACATTCTGTAATAGCTTGAAGGTTGGCCAGACATTTCTATAGTTGACATGCTCAAGTTGTAATGAGTTCCATCATTGTCATAAGTTTGTCTGGTGCTAGAGTAAGATACATTACTTCTATGATATTAAATAGGAGAAGTGGTTCAATACTATAGACAATAAAATAAGGGGACATACTAGTTGTGTAACAGATTATGATCCAATCCAACCAAAAGACAGAATGTGTGTGTTCATGCCATTATAGTTCATTCCCTTCAGCAGCCTTTATAAGGGCTTCCTGTATGTTAAAGTGGTAGTGTTTAATAATACTATTAGCTCAAGAGTTGTATGTACTAATACAGATGTGATTAATGTAGTATTGGTTGTAAAGCCAATCTAGTGTAGTGACAAACAGGGTTCTGTTGTTAGTAACAAGTTCTGGGCACACACCAAATTGACAGAGAATATCTTCAAAAATGAATTGTTCAATACTTTGTCTGGTTTCAGAATAGAGTAAGTGGAACTTAGGGTAGCTAGAGAGTGTACATCAAGTGTGAACAATGTATTAGAACCCTCCTGCTTTCAGTATGAACTTAGTGTTGATGTGTACCTTAGCAAATAACAGGGCAATCTTCAGAATACTGGGAGGGATCAGGATTTGAGTTGTCTGACAGAGTTAGCATTTGTAGCAGGTACAGATGTAGTACTTAATGTTAGGTCCAAGGCTAGGCCACCAGAAGTAGTCAAGAAGTCTAGCCTGGACAGAGTAGACTCCTTTATGTCTGAGATTGTTATACACAGTCTTGACAAGATTCTATTGTCAGTCAGGTTCTATTATAAGTTAGTAGTTACTGTTCTAGGTTTTCTGCCACAGTCAGCCAGTCTTAACAAAGAAAGTGGTTGTATAGTAAACAAAGGTGGTGAATTTGTGATTTTCCATCCTAAGTGGTCAGAGGTATGTTTCTAGGAAGGTCTTAACTTGTCTGAGACAATATTCTCTAGTATGTATACAATCAGTTGTTAGAAATATCTTAGAAGGTTTGGTATTGTTTGGAACAGTAAACACAAAACTGTAGTAGAAGGTGTAAGCTTGGTTAATCTATTCCTCAAAGTTATCTTCTTCTTCTGGGTTGGCTTTAGTACACAGATGTCAAGACAGTCTGTTAGTACAAGCAAACTGTAGGGCTAGAATGTGTTAGAACTCAAAGTCAAACAGTAGGATTCTGGCAATCTATCTGTTGATTGTAGCATTCAGCTGTAGGTCTGAGTTATTTATTATACTCTTAACATAGACAGTATCCATTTCTACTACTAACTTCCTTACTCTGATAAGGTGAATTTGTAGAGTATAGAGTGTGTAGAACAATCTGAAGAGTTTGATCTTAGCTTGAGAGTATTAGGATTGTGCTTTGTTCTAGTTAATTGATCTGAATTGGTTGATTCAATAATGACTGTTAAGGTGTTCTTGTTTGAGATAGAATCCTACACTAATAATAGATGAGTCTACAGTAACAATAACCTTCATGTCTGACTCATAGTCAATAACACATAAGGCTGGGCTATTAATAACAGTGTCTTTGAGTTTGTCCATTACTACTATGTGTTCCAAGTAGAACTCAAACAGAACATTGTGCTTGGTCAAATGTGTGAGTAGTCTAGTAAGCTGAGCAAAATTTCAAATAAACATGTGGAGGACACTTACTGTTCTAAGGAATCCTCTAACTTTAGAGACAGATTGATATGTAGGCCAGTTACAGATTTTCTGGACTTTTGAATCATCTGGCTCCCTTCTAGTATAAGTACACTTATAACCTAAGATGGTTGTGTACAGTTAGAACACACACAGCTTCAGACTAGAGAACATTCTGTAGACTGCTTTGACTTACTGTATAACATGGTTTAGGTTGTAAGCATGTTCCTATACAAATTGTCAGATACTAGGGTTTCTGGGAATGGTTTTGTATGTTCTGTCTGGAAGTTCATATCTTATAGTTCTGCCTTTAACATAAATGTCATTAGTGTAGGGTTGTACTGTATTAGGAATTTTATCCTGTAAAATAAAAGTAATATTACTGTACATAATTTGAAAAGAATTAGTATATCCTATCAGAATAACAGTAAGTCAGAATGTTCTGAGTAGTGTCTGAAACATTGTAAGATTGTAAGAGCATTCATTGAGAGAGTATTAGTTGAAGACAACAAAGAGATCTAGCACAGAGTAAATGGCCCTTCTAGAGAAGGATTCAACAACCTGTTTAATCATTAGAGGTATGGACAAGTCTCAGATCAAAACTCAGTTGAGTTCCTAGAGGTTGTAGACTAGGTGTAGAGACTTTCTGTCTTTCTTTACTATGGTAAACTATTAGGAACAGTAAGATAAGTTTGACAGCTTGTAAACTTTAGTAGTGATTTTGTCTTTGAGAATTTTCACAACTGTGTCAAGGTTTCCCTGTAGAATCCAGATGTTCCTTTGTACTCATAGAATATGTGGAACAGTTGGAATCAATATTGGATTGAAGTATTCTGAGTCTAGAGTACCTTTCTTAAGCTTGTTCCAGACAAAGGTGTTCTCATATATTGAAATCAGGTTGATTAAAAGCTGGTGCTCTTCTAGCTAGAGAAAGTTGTATAGATTGATGTTAAGAGCTTCCATGTGTTCTTGTGTGAATCAGTGTGTTGAGACAAACAGCTTGGGGTACAGTGGTAGTTCTAGCATGTTCTTCAACAGATCAGAATGCTTCTGTCAAACAATCTGAAACTCTTTTGGGAGAGTTCTGACAACTGGTCTAACCTTCTTTGCTACCTTCTTGTATGTGAATATGTTTTCTCTAGGGCTGTTGAGTGTGTATAGAACAAAGGGGTCTAATCCTAGGGCAGGTGACAGGGTGACTAGACAACTGAGGAGTAGATTGACTATGGTAGAGACTAGTGTGTGTCTATTGTAGGATAGTGTGTGTGTGTTAGGATTTGCAGCTTTAGTAGTATTAGAACTCAAATCAGAACACTGTTTGTCCTAAACACTAAGGGGCTGATTGACTAATGTAGGAGTTGAGAGATTAGTAATTACTACAAATCCTTGTTTGTTGTGTTTCTAAGGAACAGTTTGTGTTCTGGTCATAACTTAGCACTTCTGTTAACAATCTGAGGGATCTGATAGTGTTATGGATTGGTTACTGTTAATAAAGTCCTTTGTTTTGTATTCTGTAATAGTGAAGAATGGTTGGCCTAGGAGTGCCTTGAACAGGGCTTGACAAACAACTTGAGCTTGGAGAGCAATGTTAACTCTAGTAATATTGATTTTTACATTCTTAACAGTACTAAGTGTTAGTGCTTGTCTAGAGTCAGTAGTTTCAAGTATAATTGTAAGATTGGAACACAGATAGATTCTGAGACATTTCTATACATTCTTACAAATGATACAGAGTGTTACTCCTTAGTCTAGAATACAGTAGATTTCTTTAGTATCTTCAAAGATGGCTTTAACTGTACATAACAGTATAGCCTGTTCTGTAACTGACTCTAGGCTCTACACATACTGTAAGACTTGAGCTACAATTACATCTTCAGAAGTTGTTAGTTCTAAGAGTTCTGTCAAGACAAGGTGTGTAGTAGTGTTTGGAACTTACCTAGCAGATGACAGTTCCTTAACTTGCTTTCAGACATCAGGTGTAATCAACAACAGCTCCTTTAGGGTGAGGCTAATGTTAGAGTCTAGAATGTGAGAGACTATCTGCTAGACAATGACAGAGTCTTTGATGGGAGAGAGATTATAGTACTAATATAGTTCTGGTAGTAGTCTAGTAGTAGGCTTGTTAGTGTACTTCAATCTGTCATACTTTAGGGCCTGGCTTACTTTGGCAGGTAGTACAGGCTTTAGTTCTGACTTAGATTCCTTGTCCTTCTTCTTCAGAACACTTGTTGTTCTGTGTCTTAGAACCTCTACTCTGTCAAACTTGAGTTTCTTACTAGTAGCAACTTTCTTCTTTACCTCTCTGAGTAAGACTTTAAGTCTTTCAACCTTGTATTCTGCTTCTAAGACTTCTTCAATATATACAGTTAGAACAGTAAACAATGTTTAGGATACTAGTACTAGTTTTACAATTTTGAGGAGGGACACTATATACAGTAGTGTGTCTCATACATCTTAGGAGACTTAGGCATACTTTCTAGGGTTGGTTGTATAATACTAGTCAAAACAATTCATAAGTAGTTAGCCTTAGATTGTTGACAGAATAAACAATCTGTTAGGGAGAACAACCTTTCCAGATGTGTTCCAGATACACTTTCTATTATGAATGAACTTATTAACCTTTGAACACAAGCAAATAAAGTGTCTGTCTTCTCTACAGAAGGAGTAGTTTGTGTTATAAGGCAGCCCTACAGATTGAGCAGATTGTGTAAATTGTACAGATTACATACTTGTGTTTCCTACAAACAGGGAACTAGTCTTGCATTCAAATGAGTCTAACTTGCTTTAGAATGAGTAGAGTAAATTAAGGATAGTAACTATGTTTGTGTCTTCTTTCTTTATTAGAATGGTTCCAGAACTTGTTGTTCTAGTTGTATCAGCTGTCTTTCCTAAGTGTTGTAAAGTTATACCCTCCTACATAAGCTTGGCAGCCTTAACAACTTTAGTGTATGTGTAAGTTATGTAACTGTTATAGTTAGGGTTGTAAGCTAGCAAACAGAGAGTTAGCTGATCTTTAAAGGTACCTGTAATACTGTTAAGGAATGCTTTATTCTAATCTTCTTCTATAATTTCTTTCTTTAAGACTAGAAAGCTTACTATCTTCTAGAATTTGTACTAGTACTCTACAAACTCCTCTTAGTTCTGGATTCTAGTAACAGTCTATTATTAGACTAGGATACAGAGGTCATTCTTTACATAGTAGTGATTACAGTTGAGGGACAGGTATAATCTGAGAATTACTACTTGAGCAGCTTGCCAATCTAAGGTACTGTCTACAGCTTCAAGTATTAAGGCCCAGATCTTAGAATCAGATTAGTTAGTATAATATTTTACTCTCTAGATAAGCTGTTGATCAGAAAGTTGGAACTCATCTCTAATCATTTCTACTTCTTCAAGGAACTGAGGCAGGTCCTACACATTAGTTCTGTCATAATAGGGAGTATTACAGCTTGTTTAGTGTAGGAGCAGGCTGGTCTGTCCTTAGATTGTAACTAGTAGAGTATTTAGAATGTTAGTTGTAGTTAGCTAGCTACTCAGAGTACTAGCTACAGTAGACAAACTGCTCAGATTATTCTGTGAGCTCATCTGTTGAGACTAGGAACTTATCAGATTGTTCTGTGTATTTGGAACTGTTGGAACAATCAGAATTGGTAAAAACACTAGAGTGATTGTGTGGTTGTCTTCTTGAACAGACAGAACAGGAGACACAGAACAAGTAGAGTTGTGTGTAAAGGTTGATAGAAACAAACTAGGGAACAAACTATGAAATGTGGATAATGAAACTGAGCTGGATTGCTCAAGAGGTTGTACAGAAACCCCTTTAGAAACAGGACTGAGTGTGTAGGATACAGGTTGTAAGAGGTTACAGTTAACCAAATCTAATTTGGGTCTGGAATCTGATTCTTCTGTGATCAAGTTAGTGTGCTCTTAGTAGTGCTACCACCTGTTGGCTACTCAGCCTACTTAAGACACCTTGAGAAACCCTCCTCACAGTAGGCTCCAAAATGTTAATCTCTAGTACTAGTTAAGGTAGAAGAGGTCAGTTGAGTCTGTAAGGTATGAACACTGAGAGGAGTCAAGAGTAAGAAGGAATAGGTAGATTCAAGCAGAATGTACAAGTTCTGAAGGTGACAATTAACAAGACAAGAGTAGTGTAGAACAATGAAGCTGCACTTTAGAACAAGGTAATACAAGACAAGACAAGGTGAGAGGGAATGTTTACTAAGGAGACTGTCAAACTATACACTAAGAGTTGTAGTAGAGAGTAACTTCCTCCCAAGTACAAATTACATAAGGGTATTTATAGAAATTATAAGTCCTTTGTAGCTACTAGTCCTTTGTGAACAAATCCACCACTGTCTCCTTTGTATCAACCTATCCAGGACTCTGGATCTGAGTCCCCTTTGTATTGATTGACTAACTGTCTGAAGGCTTAGAGTCTTACCTTTGTAAATTGGAACTAGAGTCTGGAACCCAACTAGTCTGAGTTGAGCAACTAAGACTATTGTGTAAGCAATGATGACATAATCAAAGGATTGCTGATGTGAGGATAATGCAACTTTGATGTGACTGAGCCCTTCTGATCAGAACATATCAGAATGTATGTGTTGTATGAGTGTGACAGTACTGTATACAAAAATACTGTATCTGTATAATACAGTATAGGACTGAGCCCTAGTCAGCAGGACTCATATACAATATACTACTTCTGTATACAGTATATATAGTATATATGCTGTGCCAAATATAACAAGATACTTTACATTAAAATAGCTCATAAAAGTACACTATCATCTTTCAAAACAAATGCTTAATATTACTAAGCTAAGAAAATGTATTGTAGTACTGTTTAAACTTTACACACAGAAATAAGACAGTTGAGTGTTGTGAGTTAATATTATGTGACAGCTCTAAACCTTCATGTGATGTATTGTAGTAACCATACTAACTGTAGTACTCATACTAGTACTTTTTAAGTTAAACAAGGTTGTTATATAGTATTAAAATGATTTGGTATATAAATAAGTAAAGTAAATAAGGTTTAGAAACTCAAACTTAGTATTTAATTAGAGAATATGCTTAGTAATACTGTATACTCGTATACAGTGTATACAGAAATTTTTTACTTATGGTATACATATATGTATGTAAATATATGCCTGTATTTTCAGCTAAAATTTTCTCTTACAATACAGTGCATAAGTGTATACACTACAGGTGTATCTGTAAATTACACTACAGTACAGAGCACTACTCCCCCTGATGTGATGGACTGCAACAAACTTGTAGACAGTAACAGTCTTGAGAACTCTACTGATGGTGAGAAAGCAGTGAGGGTGGATGAAGTGCTGAACAGGTCACCACTGAGGTGGCCATTACTGTCAGCTGATTCTATGACTGAGATACTGTTGACAGATTTAGGTACATCAGACTCGGAGTTTATAGGCTATCAGCCTCATTGTTCATAACCCAACAAGGAAAGGAGTGTGTCTATTAGTAAGGACTACAACCATGGCTCCACATTGGTTACTAACAAACAATTTATTTAGTGTGTACAAACAGATATAAATGATCCCTAGAGACATTACACTGTTGACTTCTTTGACAAGTACTTAATACTAATGGGCTCAACACTAGCTTACCCTAGAAAGAGACTGACGGGTTGTACAGTATATACTATGCTAGTGATGGAAACTATGGTTGTACATCTTAGCTTCTTGTAGTATTCGTTTTAATACTTTAGATTAACTTTGTACAACTTTTCCTTCTAGATATAGTTGCTGTTGTCCGGTCCAGGACTGCTGTGGACCGGGTCCGGTCCAATTAAGGTCCGGTCCAGTTGGGTCCAACAGGGGTCCAGTCTGTGGTCCAGTGTTTGACAAAAATTTCCGGACTGCTTTGGACTGCCTGGACCCTGGACCAGACTGTGGACCGTTTATATTGTAGATACTACTTCTTTAAGGCATACAAATGGACTGTACAGAGCCTAATAGATGTAAACTACTCTTACATATATTGTATAGTGTATTGTATACCCTTTAAGCATACAAATAGACTATACTGTGTCTTACAGATGTAAACAGCAGTTTACATTGACTGTAGGAACTGATTTCTATTACACTAGTACTTCTTGTGTTTTACACTTAGTATAATACAAATAATAAAAGTAATTGTATTCTAATACATATAAGCTTACAGATATCAAGAAACATATTATTATAGTACTTAATAGTATATCTATCTCATATAATATGTTAATAAGACAGAATTATTTTAATATATATTATATAATTGGTCCAGAGGTCCGGTCCACAAGAGGTCCAGCTGGGTCCGGTCCGAGGTCCAGGATTTCATAAGAAATCGGTCCTGGTCCGGTTCACAGTCCAGCAAAAACCTGTCTGGACCGGACCTGGACCGGACCGCGGCAACTATACTTCTAGATGTACAGGGCGCGAAGATCGGACTCCCGTGAAGATACGTGTCAGGATCCGAATTCAATTTAAAAATAAAATATGAATACCGGCAGCGCCACATATCGGTGTGGTCGGCCAGTGTACCATCGGCCCTGATTTCATCGTTTGCCTCCGAGATAGTCCAATTCGAGGCACCTCATGATCGACATTATTGCGGTGCGGTGAAACACTGCGAAGGCTGTGCCGGCATTTATTACTCTGCTGCGGAAGTTATGGGTGTTTATTGCCTCTCCGTCTATTACCAAAGAACCTCGTTCTATTTCCTGTGTCATATACTCATTTATTATATCTTTATTCTCGACTCATCATGGCCGATTAACTGAATCCAATCATTTGATCGATTTTTGGCTCAGGCTGGGCGTCCTCGGAATGCATATGCGACTGCGAAACTTACTCAGGGTGCAAGTGATGAATATTCAATAAAGGCGCACAATCTCGGGCCGCTTATGAATACCGACTGTTCCTGTGTGCACACCAATTGGCAATTGTGTGCACCTTGTCACAGGTTTAGCACAATCTCCTCACAACACTTCTTCACCAAAATTAACCTCGAAGCGGTAGATGTACCAAAATATCAGAGAAGCTGACCCGCAGGAAGACGAATACGATAAATACAACTATAACGCGACTTCGTTATACCTATTCTCGTATTTGTATTCATGACGCAGCTCATTGAGCCCGAGATCAAAAGTTGGTAGCACTGTTTATCTTCAATCTAATACAAGCCAACATAATTAGTACTAGGAATACACAAGTTCATCAAATTACATACTTCTCTTTGCTGTCCTTCTGTGCACCCTCTTCATCCTCTCCTTCTCTTAAGTTGCTGTTACTACCGCTCATACGACGCCTTATACTGTCAATAAGAGGTTGAATGAAGCTACTTCCACTCCCGGACCGTTTCTTCGTCTTTTTCTGCTCCCCCGCTGGTGCCTGCAATTGTTCTGCATTCTTTTCATACCCTCCAGTAGTTCGCACCTTATAGTAACTTAACTTTTTGCCATCTGTTCCAGACGATGGTGACACTCGTCCATTGCTTACGTTCAAGTCATCGTCTTCGTCGATAGGTTTACGCGAGGTCATTATGTAATAGTGTTATAAGCGTTAGGAGATAACTTGAAGATACTGTGCCCGAGGAGGTCTTCTAATTTCCAGGGCACAAAGGCGAAAGTAATATGGGAAAAGCTGAGTTTCGTCTTGAGTGTGTGTGGCGTCAGGAAAGCTACAAAGAGGTTCGCATTGTTGTAAATCTCGATGACTTTGCTTGTGTGAGGGCGACCCGGTGTGGGGAATGGTGGAGTGGTCAGCGGCGGTAATTCTGCAAAGTGGTGGCGATGAGCCCTTCATGTTGAATTGTGGGTATGTCGTGATAATAATCTATGAGCGGCAGAAATACACAGGGTGGTCATGTACCACGATTGTAGTGATAGGTTACATAAGACTATCATGGAAGACATTACGGATTCAAAAAATCATTTATACAGCAAATGTGGTCACTTTAATTATATCGGGTATATGCCTTCCAACGTGCTAAAAAAGCAAATAATTACCATTATATGCATCCATTCTTGAGATGATGAGATCAGCGTCAAAAGTTCTGAGCAGGGTTCCGCTCCCTAGTGGAAGGACAAATCGTCAATGAGCGAAAGAGAGCACACAATATTGATATTGAAGAAATGCGAAGGTGCACTTACCTCCTTTCTCTCTTTATGTTTGGTAATATCGCGATCAACTTCCTCGATCTTCCGTTCCTTGACCTTCTGTTCGATGTATGCGTATCCTTTGAACCATTCTTCGACCTTCTTCCTCTTTCTTCCTCGTGTGCTGACTTCAAGTCGTCGTCTCTTTTGACCGGAATTCCTGTTCCACGAAGTTCAGCGTACTCAGAGACCGAGCTTCCTGGAGTTCCCAATGACTTGAACGGTTTGGTGTTGGTATCATCAGCACCGTCAATTGGTTTACAGTGTCCTCTGTAATAATTCATATGGCTACGTGCCTTGAGAGACGGATCCTCGCTGAGTATGAGACCTATGGGTGGTACACTATCGTGTTGTGCATATGGGCGATGCAGACCAAATACGAGATGCAAAATTGGCTGCTTCCGTTATTCTGATGGCCATCGGTTCAGTAACTTCAGTTTGCGCGATACACACCGCAGCTTTCTGAAACGTCTGATAATGATTAAGGTAATCATGTTATGTAAGACGACCAACTGGGCACTTGAAAGAGCGTGAATTCGAAAACTAGTACGTTCAGCTATACCGGGAGTTTATCAGTAAGGACAGCATCCGGTCCGCCACTGGGTATTGTAATCTCGGTCTCGGAGTATTCGACTACAAAAGCCGAAGTCGTTCCTGTTGTTTAAATACATGTTGTGTGTAGTTCGTGCGGACGTTCGGGCCGGTCCGGCAAAACGAGCCTCGAGCGGACCGTCTGCACCGCGTCGAGAGTTTATCACTTAGACATGATCAAGCATACATTTACTAATATCAAGCCCCTCTTCCTCTCCCTGGTCCTCCTCTTCTCTATCTCCGTATCTTTTCTGTCGTTCCATTCTCATCTGAAAAATAATCTAACAAACAAAACATGTCTGAGCCCATCAAAATAACCCATTTCAAAACACACGACGTCCGGTTTCCGACGTCTATTTCTGGAGATGGCACGGATGCTATGAACACCGAATGCGATTATTCTTCTGCTTATGTCTGTCTTTATACAAATTCTGATCTTGTTGGGTATGGAATGACGTTTACTATCGGGAGAGGAAACGATATCGTATGTTCTTCCACTTTACATTCTCTCCATATTGTTTAATAATAAAACTGATATGTAACACTAGGTCTGCAAAGCAATCGAAGAACTCTCCAAAAAACTCGTCGGCAAAGACCTCGAGTCTCTCTTCTCAAACATGGGAAAAACATGGGACTTCCTCCTCTCCGACCCACAACTCCGCTGGATCGGCCCCGAAAAGGGTGTAATCCACATCGCTACTGGGGCAGTGGACAACGCACTCTGGGATTTATTCGCTCGTTCACGCAAGAAGCCACTATGGAAGTTAATTGTAGACTTTACGCCGGAGGAGTTCGTACGTGCGACGGCGTTTCGCTACATCACTGACGCGATCACACCCGAAGAAGCGTTGACGATGCTCAAGGAGAAAGAAGCCGGGAAAGCAGAGAGGGAGAAGAAAGTTAGAGAGGTAGGATACCCGGCGTACGTCACCTCTGCAGGGTGGTTAGGATACGATGACGAGAAAATCAAACGGTTAACAAAGGAAGCAGTCGCCGCTGGGTTCAACCACTTCAAAATGAAAGTAGGCGCAAGCCGCGAAGCGGATCTCCGCCGAGGGAAAATCATCCGTTCAGTCATCGACGACCCATCTCTCCTCCCTTCCGGCATTTCACCTTCCTCTCGAGATCCAAACTCACCAGGACTAAAGGGGAAGAACGCAGGACCGACGGGGTGTGTTCTCATGATAGACGCAAACCAAGTCTGGGATGTTCCCGAAGCTATCTCCTACGTACAATCCATCTCAGAGATCCGTCCCTGGTTCATCGAAGAACCAACAGCACCAGACGACATCCTCGGCCACACCGCCGTCCGAAACGCACTCAAACCATACGGCATTGGCGTCGCAACAGGCGAACATGCACACAATCGCATCATCTTCAAACAACTCCTCCAAGCCAACGCGATTGACGTAGTCCAATTGGATAGCTGTCGACTTGCAGGTGTTTCTGAAGTCCTCTCCGTTATACTCCTTGCTGCAAAATTCGGTGTACCGGTGTGTCCACATGCAGGAGGCGTCGGGTTGTGCGAATACGTGATTCACCTGTCGTTGATTGACTATATTGTCGTGAGCGGCTCGATGGAGAGGAACGTCCTCGAATTCGTCGACCACCTACATGAGCATTTCGTTTATCCATGCAGTATTAACAAACAAGGGAGGTATAACGTACCCGGGAACGAGGGCGAAGGGTACAGTATCGAGATGCACAGAAAGAGCATTGAGGAGTATGAATGGCCGAATGGGAGTTACTGGGTAGCACATTCAAAGTAGGCCTATTTCCGTGTCTGCAGCTTCATTTCTATTGCTATGTGCAAATGACCAGTACACGCTTTATGCTTTCGAAAAAACGGATATGTATTGTTATCAGATGGCATCTATACATTGATATATGAGGAAATGGAACATGAATGGACATGCAAATGCAATTTCGAATACAGGAGAGGACAGAGAGAAAACGGAGGATTGGCATACGTATGCATGCATGGGGGAGTTAGTATAGTTACAAAGTCCAGTATACAAAGCACACAGACAGGCAGGCAAAACACATGCGTAAAACGCGAGACACCTTGGCAAGAGAACATGCGAGGAGTATACAAGAAGAAGGATTAAATGATGGAGAAGAAAAGGCCAAGAAGACTAGACGAGAATTTAGACGTGTAAAAGTCGAAAGAATGCCTTACGTTAATTTTGAACGATCCGAAGTTCGTCGACGTTCTGTCTGAGCGCCTCGATGACCTCGGGGTCAAGGGAGTAACATGGTACGATACGGACCATGCGTATCTTCTCGACACCACCTAGGTCTACACTTGGCCGAGAAGCACGTGACCGGACGACACGAAGAACCTCATGTCCGCTAACGTCTCGGCACCCATTCAAACTCAAAACGCGCAAGTTCGGAAGGAGCCACGCGTTGCTACCAGAGTTGTCGTTCCCTGGTCCTGACGCGAGGAGCTCAAAGAGTCGAGAGCCGACTGCACCTGAAGGAGGAGCTGCAAGTCCGAGTGCGGTGATCTGGGAGAGCGAGTGTAAGGCGCGTACGAGAGGAGCGAGTGCTGCACCCTCTGTCGTACATGTGCGGAGCTCAAGATGTCGAAAAGCTGGTAATCGACCTGCTATAGCAGCAGACGAGAGATGCGAAAGCCACGACAGGTTGTCTCCTTCCAGCCCTGAATCCATCTGGACTGCGAGACGAACTAGAGAAGGAAGGGTAACCGCATCGAGGAGGAGCCCAACATTCGTCGCGTCAAGGAAAGAAAGTGCCAGATCTGTCACTCGCATGACGTGAGTGCGAACAGGTGAACGTTGGAAGAGTCCTTCGGAGCCGTCGAGATAGAATATCGTCGATTGTAGTCGAACGTCCTCTAGGTCCGGAGCAGAAGTCAATGCAGAGAGGTACTCGCGTAAAGCGATCTTGATACGCTGGTTCGCATGGTACCGAACATCACGAACCAAGTGGAATTGACGAAGGTGAGGTGCATAACCCTTCGCAAAGACACATGCTAATGGCATTTGTTCGAGCGTGACGCTTGTTAAACGGGGATATACACCATCGAGAAGTGGTACGGGAGCCGCGTCCTCGCTATCTCCTGGGTCGATGCGCAATGCAAGGGCTTCAAGGCTTGCATGCATGTTGTCGCATTGCTCAGCAACCACAGCCATCCAGTCCCAATCAGGTACACTCACACGGAAGGAGAAACAACGTGCGAGATGGGGGTTGAGTGCTTGCATGATCGCTCGAGCCTCGGCGAGTGATTCTGCATATCGAAAGTCGAGGTCGACGAGGATCTTCGCGGCTTGAGCACGATCCATATATGTTCGGATCTTCCGCAGTAATTCTGCGCCGTGGCCGTAGTTCCAATCATGGTCCATCGTGATGTAGCTCCAGAGCGTCGGCGTGGCAAGAGCAAGTTCGCGCCAGTATTTCGAGACAAGTGATATGACGGGGAGTAGCTGCTGACTCTCGTGAACGCCGAGTTCAAAGATACGACTCAGGACTTCTGGGGGAACGCTATTGATCAGGGCATTATCTGCGAGTACTTTTAAGCGCTTCAGTCTAAGTGACGACAGCTCTGCTTCGAGCTTGGATATCGTCTCGTCGATTTGAACTACTTCCGCGAGCATCGGGCGTGGGTCACTGGAAAGGCCATGTTATCCCGAGGCGGTCAAAAAGATGGTATGAACCTACACTGTTGGTAGAATCATTTCCTGTTCGTCATCAGTTGGTGAAACCAATGTGGATTCCTCGAAGGGGTTCCAGTCCCATGTCAATGACGGGTCGGCCATGGCTAAAGACATTCAAGTACGGGGTGCTCCACGTTCCAAGTAGATCCCCTTAAATATTATAAATGAGACAAGGCGAAGAGATGAAGGCCGCAATACATACCTTTAGGAAGCGAGCATGTATGAAGTCCAGCACAGGATTGCTGTGTGCCAGACGTCTGTCGAGTGGTTTAAGTTATCCACCTTCCCTATGCACACTGTACGGGAGTAATTAGCACTTCTGGATGCACTGATACTTCGGAGAGGTGGGCTTTTCGGCGTTGAAAGGCCAGGGCGAATTCAAGTCAAGTTTGGCGCGCGTCTGTGCTGAATGTTGATGTCCAGAAGAGACAATAAAACACCCAGAAAAAAATCACAGAAAGCCGAGACCCAGAACTTGTGAAGAAATCCCCAGAACGTCGGACAAGCTCAGATGGGCCGCAGCGGGTGTGTAGGAGATGAAGGTATGAGACCAAGATGCAAGCTGTGTGATGAACGACGCGGCAGGACAAGCAGTTCAAGAATCTAGTTGACGCCCACGTGTTCCGTTCTCAACCGAGATCGTACGGTCACGGTCACGGTCACTGTTAACTTTGAGCAAGGCTTGGGTAAACAACTTTCACCTTATGGAATATATAATACAGAGGATGGGTAGTATGAGTGTTAACTGGGTGTTTACTACAAGACTGTATCTGTGAGTCTGTGTTTGCAATTACTTGCATTGAGCAAGCCTTGGGTGACGCGGTGACAGGGTCACAGGGATATTCATGTTCTGTAACATTGGTCGCTGATGTAATTTATCTACAGTGAAACCTGTCATTAAGCATGACCCACCGTGGACAGGTGAGGCCATGCTTAATAAGAGGTTATGCTTATTGACAGTAGCTTAAGTAAAGTAATAAAATTTCCTTATTTGTAGTACATAACTCAATAATACATTGTCTACTTAAAAAACAACCAAATATCAGTCTGTTCAAGAGAACTATTTATTTTCTTACATAGGTTTCTTGTAAGCTTTGGAAAAAGTGCCCTAGCCTTAGTAAACTCAGCACCAATCTTACTCTGAAAGAGCACATTGAGCTTTGAAAGTAATTGGACAGCCTCTGCATAGCTTTTAATGCTTCAACTTTGGTGCTTTACTATGGGCAGGATCCTTTGGTAGAGATGTATCATTGACTGTACTTGTTTGTGGATGAATACCAGTGGAAGCATGAATATCTGGAAGCAGAGCTAAGAGATTGACAGGGGAAGCATCTCTAGAATAAGTGAAAACAATTTCACTAGCATCCTTGAGTGTTCCATCTGGGTTCTGTGCACATCCAAGCTCCTCAGACATGATGATTAATAAGTTTTAATAGTGGTTTTCATTACATTATGCATTTATTTTACAAAATGGAGGTGGCCTGTACAAAAAGTGGCTCTCTCTGAGTCAAGATCTGTACTGTCACATGACCCAAAATTTCCTTTAATTAAGCATATTCTCAATCTCACACCTTAATGCTTAATGCTTAATGCCCTTTATACTTAATATACCTCTATTTTCCTGCCTACCAACTTGGTGGATCAAATTTTTCATGCTTATTGAGAGGAAATGCTAAACTACAAGTATACTTATTGACAGGTTTCACTGTACTTATCTAATACAGTCCTAATTCAATATCTTTTGCATTACAACTTGCACTTGTTACATACTCAGTCCCTACTGCTCAGTCTCATCACAGCTTCTCCTTATCTTCTTGACAGTTCTCTGTCAGAAACACATTCTCAGTAGCTCTTTACTTGTGTTAAATGTTTTTCTTAATTTACAGTATTAGCTGGACCAACCAGTCCTAAAGGACTGGGATCATCTTCTTTACACAGTCTCTTATAAGAACTGTTGCTACACAATGGTACTGCTTGCACAGGGCTAGAGACAGGAACATATAAATAGACATAAGGAAAGACACAATCAAGCTAGTAGAACAGACAGAATCAGAAAAGAAGAGATATCATGAAAAGTAATGACAAAATATTGATAGGAAAAGGTAATGACAAAACTCATAAGACTAGCCAATGTAGAATCAGAATGGGTAAGTATATATTTCAGGAGAAATGGCCAGCAGACAATAAAGGAGAGTGATGGGAATAAAACCAGTAAACTAGATTCAAGAAAATACTGTCTAGTCTAAGTTGAAATTGTACATGAATTATTGCTAGAAGGCAGTGGTACACTATCCTATTTTTATGTGTCTGTTGAACTGAAGTAGTCTACTTTTCATTTGCACAATTGCTACCATTACAATAATATTTTGCCTCTGAAGAAACATGTGAATATATTCTACTAGCTTCTGTAAACAGGTGATAGTACTTGTATCATACAAATACTGAGTAGTGTCATAGTACTGTATACTTCCCTGTAATCAGAATTAGTAACCAACAAAATGTTCAAGGAGTAATACAATAAGTTATACTTACACAATCAAACTTGTTTGTCCCAACTCTCTATTGTAAGGACATTCTCTGTCAGACTCAAATCAATCAAAAGGACACTCCTCTAATGACCTTGTAGTATACACTGTACTTCTGCTGTTCTTGCATCCCAGAATTGCACACTACAATCCCTTGACCCACTTACTACCTACTGTCCATTATGTGATACTGTAATGGAAAAAATGTAATCCTTGTGTCTAGTAAAGTTGAGTGTATTAATGCCATCTTAGTACTCAGAGACATTAGCTACCTCTGTAACCAATACTACACTTCTGTCAGAAGTTATTAATAAGGAAGAAGGCAGAATACCTTTACATAGTCCCTCTATAGTAAACATACTTATATCCTAGTACCTGAGTGTCTTGTCCAAACTCTCACTTATGATTCCTTTACCATTTAGAGTGAACACAACAGAATTCATAGTATCCTGATAACCCTTCAGTCTTACTACAAGGTTACTGTCAGTAACAGTATAGAGGGGACCTAAAGGCTTAGTGAGGGGACCTAGGCTACAACTATCCTACACAACAGAAATACAGAATACAAGTACTGGAATGTAGTCAGAACTCACAGAACAGGCAGAGAGAGAGAGTGAGGCAAGAGTAGAGTATATAGAGTGAGCCTAAGAGTACAGGACTACCTAGAGTAGACAAGATTAAGACTACAGGACTAGTCTAATCTTGTACACCTATATATACTAAACTACACAAGAGTACTCAGGGAGTGTGAGCCACTAAGAATGATGAGCCACAAAGAATGAAAGAAAGGAATGTCAAAGATAAAGGTATAAAGAATGAAGGGATAGACAAAGGGTAAGAGACTCTAGAATGAACAGAGAATAAAGGAGTGGTCAAAGGAATAGAATGATGAAGTAAGGAAGGGTAGTAGTAAGAGTCAGTATACATATAGTTTATAGACAGCACCCTTAAGGGACAGAAGTCCTGAGTTCTAGTATGGAAGGGTGTAGAACCCTTAGAACTGAAGGTACAAGAGTAGAGAACTGTAACATTACTCCCCCTCTAAAACCAATCATTCTGATTAGTAAACATTGGACTTGGTTAGTAGCTTGAGTATAGGTTAGAATAGTAAGGCTTAGAAATCTGTAAGACTGAGTTTGTACAGAGCACTAGGATGAAGCTGATAGAAGTCTTAGATTACTTTAGGAGTATGGGTGAGGTTCTTAGTAGGTTCCCAAGTACACTCCTTAACTGAGTACCCTTTCTAGTAAACAAGGAATTTGAGTTTTCTGTATAGTAGCTTAGTATCTACTATGTATTCTACTTCATATTCTAGTTCAGAACTAATGAGTTCTAGTAGAGATAGTAAGGGTCTTTGTTACAAAGGAAAACCTGGATTATAGTACTAAGACAGTAGAACCTTGTTAAACACTGAGTGTATGTGCTTCTATGTTGCTGGAAGTTAGAGTTTGTAAGTAGAGGTGCTAACCTTCTTTTTAATAACAAAGGGTCTAAAGTACTTGTTGTCCAACTTCTTCATTAGGTGATCTGTGGTTAGGTTAGTGGCTTCTAACATAACTTTGTTACTAGGCTAGTAATCCTTGGCTACAAACCTCTTCCAATCATAGTTCTACTTTATGACCTGTACTACCTTTTCTAAAAGAGCTTATGTGTCCTCCCTAGTTCTGTGTATTTGTTCTACAAAGTCTGTTACAGATTCAGAACTACTGTTCCAGTTCAGAACTGTCTCCTAGTACAAATGTCTTTTATAATTGAGGAAGAATAAGGACTGTCCTGTTATAGAGTGTTACTAGTTATTGTGTACAAATTCTGTCAGAGTTAGCTATTCAGACTAATCTGATTACTAATGATTAATAAACATTCAGAGGTAGAGCTCAATCTCCTGATTGACTCACTCAGTTTGACTGTCAGTCTGTAAGTAATAGGTAGTAGAAGGGTTCCCTTAAATTCTAAGAAGTACATACAAGTCCTGTATGAATTTTGACTCAAATTATAGTCTACAATTATAAATGAGCTTCTAAGAGAGTCTGTACAACTGGAAGATGTGATTCTGATAAATACATACTATACTTTTAGAAGTGAGTTCTGTTTAGGTCAGAACTATATGGACTTGCTTAGAGAATCAGTTGACAATTATACAGATAGTGTTGTAACCCTAAGACTCAAGTAGCTTACTAATCAGGTCTACTGAGACTTCTTCCCAAGAGTGATCCAGGATCTGATGTGAATGTAGGAGAGCCTAAACCCTTGTCTGGTAGGTCTTAGTCTGTTAGTATGTATTGTAACTAGTCATGTACTTTAGGATTTCTCTCTACATTCTAGACTACTAGTAGTTCTGAGTAATGAGTTCCTGTGTTTTGTGTCAGTCTGAATGTTCTACAGTCAGATTGTTGTAATAAGCTTAGACAATGTTCTCCTACAGTTTCCAATCCTTCAGAATGTACAGTTAGCCTTTCTAGTAAACCTGTCTATCCTTATTCTCCTTCCAATCCCTAGCCTGCTTCTCTAGTTACTTTACTACAACCTAGTCCTGTGTGTGTCTTAGAGCTTACTGTATGTAGGTGACAAAGTTGACAT